TTTTGGGTGGTGCCTGGATATCATGCAGAACCTTTTGTAAATCAGAATCAATTCTTCCCTTCCTTTTTTTCAAGTGTTTATGGGAACTTGTCATGAGACTTTAGGTGTATACTGATAGGTAAAGGCAGTATGGCATGAATGAAGACCATAGTTGGTCCACTTACTACAAGTAACTTTTGCATTCATTGCTTACTTATTCCTGATATACTACTGATGTACCACTTCTATTTTAGGATGGAATACTGTTGTGTGCATCTAACTTTATTACTTGGTGGGTCACTTAACACTGAGTTCATCATGGGTAGCTCAGGTGACATAATAACTTGTCAGTCCATGGTTAAGCATTTAGTCTTCTCTGACGCCCAGGAACAGACCAAAAGTTGTTTCTCAAAAGGAGAGTAAGTTATCTGCAATGGATGTCAGGACTTGCTCCAAAATTCCAAGGTCTTGTGCTGTGATTCTTCTGTTGGGGCATAGCAACAATTCCAAACAGCATTTCCATCTGCCACTGATACCATTAGATCTGATGGGCCATATGGTCCAGGAGGCAGAGCAGCTTGCACAGCAGCCTGGATCTATTGCATAGCCTCCTTACACTTGGTACGATACTCAACACTCGCAGCTTTTTGGGTAGCTTGCTCAGTAGGTCAGGGTAATACACCTACAGGAAGAATATGTTACATCCAATCTAAAGAAGTCCACTAAACGTTTTGCCTATTTTGATTGTAGAGAGACCAATTGTCACCTTAGAAGGGACATCTCAGTGTGTCTTACATAAATAGATCTCCAGAAATTGCACTGAGGTAGAAGGCTCCTGAATTTTTTTATCAGATTAATTTCCTACTCTCTCATATCTTACCAGTAAGTCATGAGTAATTGTTACTTTTTACTAACTAGTTCTAATTAGTGTAATGTCATTGATGTAAAGAACCAGAGTGATACCTTGTTGAAAAAGGTGATCAGGATCCCTGTGGACTAATTTATGATATTGGACTGGAAAGTAGATATATCTCTGAGGTAGGATTGTGAAAGTATATTGTTGGGCTTGCCAGCTGAAAGCAAAATGCTTCTGGTGGGTTTTATTGACATTGATGGAGAAAAAGGCACTTGCCAGATCAGTGTCAGCGTACCAGGTGCCAGGGGATGTTTTAATTTGTTTTAGCAATGAAAACACATCTGGTACAGCAGCTGTATTTGAAGTCACCACCTTATTAAGTTTAATGATAATCCACTGTAGCAATCTTCTTGCATTGCTGTTCATCCAATTGCAAAATGAGAGTAGGTTCTCTTTTAGCGCACATATAGAAACTTCTGTTCAGGTCATTTATGCTGTGCTTGAGCTCTCTATTGTCAGATCACACCATGGGCTCTCACTGCACTTTTTTGCTGGGAAGTCAGTCAAAGTGGAAACCCCAGAACCAATTCAGAAATTCTTCCTTAATATTCTAGTCTTCTAGAACCACGCTTGATATCAAAGTCTGTATTAGTCAAGGTTCTCCACAGGAATTGGCTTCTGCCATTATGCAAGCTGAGAAGTGCCAAGATGTATTGTTGGTAAGCTAGACAACCAGAAGAGTTGATAGTATAATTCCACTCTGACTCTAAAGGCCTGGAATCAGAAGAGGCAATGGTATAAGTTCTAGTCCAAGTTTGACCCTAAAGACAGATGACTGATATCCCAGCATGAACACAGACAGAAAGTGGGAAATATGTCTTAGACTTTTTATTCTATTTAGGCCTTCAGTAGAGCAGATAAGGTTCACTAATTTGAAGGTAGGGGACAGTCTGCTTTACCTAGGCTACAGATTTAGATGTTAATCTTAACCAGAGATAGCATTATAGACACATTCAAATATTGTTTAGTCAAATTTCTGGCCACCTCATGGCCCCATCCGGTTGACACATAATAATTCATCATCACACTATTCATTTGTCTATGGACACTTTGGCTGCTTTCACTTTTTGGCTATTTTGAATAATGCTGCTATGAACTTAGGTATACAAATATGTGCATCTCAGTTTTAAATTCTTCTGTATTTTAAATGGTATTTTTATCTAGCTACTGCATATGCTTAGGTAAAGTTTAGAATTCCTGTTGCTGAGTCACAAAAATAAACAGATGAGAGCATGTCAGAGGTGTGTTTTAGAAAAAACAGTTGTGTTGTATCTGCTCCATATTTAGGTTTTATGGATTCAGTTGTACTGTATTTTGCAGATGATTGAAGGAATTTTCAATGGAAATGTTGTATTATACTTGATTTTTGCCTAATCCACTGTCTTTGGAATCCAGTATTGCTTTCCTTTCACAAAGCAAAGAAATAATTTTTGACAATTCTATGTCTTCTCAATGCAAATGAAATAAAAACTATCTCTGGTGTTCTTACTAATAGAGGAGAAGATAGAGGAATGCCTATTTAGTTCATTTTATTCAAAGGAACATTTTGAGCAAAGGAAAAGCATTTGTATTAGTATCTGCTTGTACTTTAGAAGGCTATGGAGAAAGAGGGCAGAATATTTTAGAGTCGATATGACACTTAGAATGAGTATGTGATTTTGAAAGAGCGCTGAGTTAGGTATTGGTAAATATGTTTATTTTATAAATTCTACTTTACTATTGAGGTATACAATTTTGGATAAATCTTCCTACTCCTGTGAACTCATTTTCTTGTCTGAAAGACAGTGAAGCTTATAATATGCATTACTATTTCATAGGGTTATGATGACCAAATGGAGTAAAGTATGTGAAATCTTTAAAATGATTTGAAGTTGTTAGGTAGCGTTTTGTGATTTAAACAGAAAGAAAAATGGCTATTAGACATAATACATTTGCTTATTTATTGGATGGTTTCTGTGCATCTGATTAATAAAAGTTTTCTAAGTTTTGAGGTGAAGGGATCATATTTTGCCTCAGTGCCTCAATTCTTTGGAAAGAAAGAAGTATGCTGCTTCTAAGCACTCAAAGCCAATTTTTGATATGAAATACTCCTATTTTACTGTTTTGCAGACTTATATGGTGTTCACAAGTTTACTAATAAATGAAAATTTTTCAGCATATATACCCATTTTAGTCCAGATGGGTATTATGTGACATTTCTGTTTTACTAAAGAATTTGCCAAAATTTTTATGTTTGCATATTGAAGAGGGTATATTTTTGTGAGATGAGGTTTATTTGATACAACATTGAAGATTACTAAAGAATTTTTTGTTGATTTATTGTTCTCTTAAGAGACTAGAGAGGAGGTAAACAAGCTATTTTTTCTCTGGCATGTTTTGATGGTCCATACAGATGGATTTGTTAAATCTCTATGAATGAGAGACAGAAATAAAGTGTTACTCTTGAGATATTTCTTTAGTAGAAAAAAGGACTGATTTTCTTTACTATACAGAGGACTTTTACTTTCTAGGAATTTGAGTTTCTTTTCAGGAACTTCAGTTAGAATGAAAAACCTCAAAACCTATTTTTTTCTTTGCTCAACAATAATGATTTCGTATCTTTTTAGAGCCAAACAAATTTGAAACTTTTCATTTTTTATCTTTTCATTTTTTTGAGTTTTGAGATGACTTTGATATAGTAAGAACTTTTGCCTCACCCTATAATTAGTTTAATGGATGTCATTAATTACTTGTTGACAAACTGATTCTAGGACTAAGGCAAGGAAAATAAATACAAATGAGCCTGGGGCATCTTGTAGTAACAGAAACTAAGGAAATGCTCAAAAAAATAAATTGATGAGAGCATGTAAAAGAAAAACAGGAGCCAGTTAAAATGGCCAGCCCTGGAATAATTTGAGAAACAAAATAAATAATGTATTGGATTTTAACCCATAGTGTACAGTAAATATCCATGAGTCCTTTCTAGTATAAATAAGTGACTGAATAAGTGCATAAATGGAGGGAGACAACTCTTCCACACAGAAACATTGCATATATATTTAAGTGGGGTTACACTTAGTCACTTCCAAGGAATAGATTATGGAAAGGGAAAATCAGTAATTTCATAGTAGGGAAGTCTGCAAAGGCTACCTTAAACAACCGATAAAGGTTACCATCAACAGTGATGTCCCGTGGATATCATGTTCCTCTTGAAATAATGAGGATGAGAAGGGCAGTTCACTTCTGTGGTTTTCTTTCTACAAACTTGTAACTCTAGTCTAATCTTAAGGGAAAACATCAGACAAACATAAATTGAGGATCATTCTACAAAATACCTTACTAATATACCTCGAAGTAGTTTAAGATCATGGAAAAAAAAACAAAGACTAAAAGCTGTCACAGACCAAGAGAGACTGGGAAGACATGATGACTACATGCAATGGGATATATTGTGGATGCAACCTGGAACAGAAAATGGATATTAATGGAGAAACTGATGAATAATATGGGGCTTGGTTAATAATAATGTAACCAGTGTTGGTTTCTGTATTCTGCAAATACCATGGTAATTGATAGTATGTATGGAGGAAACAGGGTAAAGTATATACAGACGCTATTTGTACTATCTTTCAACTTTTCTGTAAATCTAAAATGAATCCAAAATAAAATGTTTATTTAAAAAATCTTAATGACTTTTTTTTTTTTTTACTCCATGGGATCAAGTGATGTGAAGAACATAAAAGCTTTGTGTCAACCAGTTTTGTCCACTGAGCAGGTTTTATTTTAATATTGTTATTTCCCCCCAACAATGTAATATTTTCAGTACTATCGAAGGACATTAATAAGTTACAAATAAGTTCTTATATATTTTGAAGGGAAGAAGTTAATAATTTATGTAGTATTACATAGGATCTGAGTTGTTACTGTTGTAAGTACTTTCAAAATCCTGATTTCTTAAATTATATTGATATTGTACTTCATCATAATATAGTATTTTGGGAACTTAAAAATTTAATAGTATTACTAGCTAAGGCACCAAATAAAAATTAATAGAAAATATTTATGATAAAATCTCTGTTATTGTGAAAATGTTTACAAGCAAATTTTGTATCATTTTTTTTTCTAGATTTATTATCCAGGATAGATTTGGATGAACTAATGAAAAAAGATGAACCACCTCTTGATTTTCCTGATACCCTGGAAGGATTTGAATATGCTTTTAATGAAAGTAAGTGGTGCGTACTATCTCCAGGATTTACTGGATAATGCTAATGCATCATAGGGGAGAAATTATTTGCTACCTTTATTTCCAGTTAGAATGCTGAAAAATAATGACTTATCCTTTCCTAGTAAAATTCTTTAGTCAAGTAATATGCCCTTTCATGTACATTCCCTGTATTTACCACCTTTGTACATAGTTATACCTTTGCACATGTGTGTGCCTTTCATATATAGACATCTAGAACACACTTGTATAAAAACCTACTATTTATTTTTTAAATATCCTTGATATTGTCTTGCATAAACATAGACTAACATAACAGCAAAGGTGCTTGCATTTCGAGGAAAGGATGTCACTTTTAAGGATCTTACTTTTAGCATAATACATTTCACCTTTGAATTGGTGAAGGAAATTCTATGGGGACTACACCCGAGGTGGGGGGGATAAGTAAAAAAAAATACAAAACAACGTTTAAAAATGAGCAATGATGTAAAATATATATAATTTTAAAAAATACAGTTCACCTTTGAATTCAGGATTAATTAATATATTTTGAAGGAGGAGGATTTGAAAACAGGAAACTGGGTCTTAATATTAAACTTCTAAAAGAGCAATGTTAACTTGGTATATTTAGCAACATCTTTTTCAGGTTTATAATGACATAAACTCTTAGGAAATCTTTGAAATGAAACTTTCATTATCTCATTTAAGAAGCTTCTAAATTTTTCTAAAGAATTTTAGAATTCTTAGTTGGCTAAAAGAAGAATTCAGATATAAAATTTGTGGTAGCCAAAAAAAAAAAAAAAAAAACTCACACACAAATGGTAACAAAATGGAAGAGATTTTTTAACCCACATTAAATCTATACTTTGTTCTTTCAAATCACTGTGCCATTTCAAATACTCCTTATATTTGAAATTCCCATTTAATCATTTTCCAGTTGTTATAATTATATAGGTCCAGCTCAGATGTCCGTGGCTTAGAAGATGATGTGTATAAAGACTTCTTGTTTTTCACCCATACCTATCCTCCCTGTGTGCTGGTGCAGTATTATGAGGAAGCACACTTTTGTATCACAAAAATATTAAAGCAGGTAGGTGGGTAGGCAGGCAGGCATGCATGCATGCATGCAGACAGACAGACAGACAGACAGATAGATAGGTAGATAGATAGATAGATAGGAAGGAAGGACTCAGTGGCAGATCATCTGAGTTTGAATCTTGTCTTCCATGGTACATGATATTTATGGAACTCTAAGGACATGCTGGAAATTATCTTAAATCCTTCGAAGTCATTAATTCATTTAGGTCAGTAATGATCTATTTTGGGTCTTAGATTCCACCACAAATACGTTGAACTGTTTGGATACTATTCCTAATATTGGTATATATATGAAACTGCAACTATTTTAGGGGACCCTCTATTCAAGTGCCCTATGTCAGATCATTGACAGTCATTGGAGAAATTTTTTAAACCTTTGAGAAATGCTTAATTTTCAAATGTATCTGTAATATAATTGACACAGGTATTTTTTTCTGGACAAGAAATGATTACTTTATTTGCCCCTTTACTTATTTTCATTTTTAACGCTAGCGGTGATAGCTGTTTTGATGGGGCTTATTTTTTATAGAGTCAAAATCTTTATCAGTTCATGAGAATTCTTCTGTCTAAGCTGAGAAGAAAATTTTTTATAAAGCAGCTCTTTCTTGAGATGTAGATGCAAGTGGTCTGTTAAACTCACTTGCTAGCTAAGTTTTTAACTTATAGAAAATGCATTTTAAACTTCAGCTTCCGCAATGCCCTGTACCTTTAAGGTTGCTCTTAATCAAAATCATAGGTTTGCAAATGCCCCCAATCTACTTCTGTTGGTATTTAAAATGGAATTTCTCTCTGCTAAAAAGAGAACCACATATATATATCTTATGATTTGTGTGGCAACATCTAATTACAAAAAAGTGTTATTGTTTTCCAGTATAATGCCCTACGTTGAGAGTATGAAAGAATTTAACAAGTAAAGATTAACCCTTATTTTATACATTGTAAGTATCCATTTATGTATGGTAAAATTGATTCATAAAAATAGTGAAGTCATTTTACTTGAAGTAGTGTATTTCCTGAGTTCATTATCAGTGTCATAACTTTAAAGTCTTTATCCACTCCTGCATATCGTCATTTACATGTAGCTTGCTTATATCCTTCTTCTGCCTTTAAATCCTTATTCAAAGGCCAAGATCCAGAAATTCAGTCCTCCTATTTGATCCCAACAGATAATCTTGTGTCTGTTAATTTGGGTTAAATGTTGTTTCACCTTTCTGTCATTTTTCATTATTTTCTTTATATCGTGGGTGGTAAAGGTTTTGGTGTTAAAACAAATGACCCCTAGTCTGTTTCTCTCCTCATCATAAGGGGAATACTCCCGAGGAAAGAAAGAAGACACATGGCTTGATTATTTCTCCTTGTAAACATGCTGATAATTTAATCTGTTAGTGAATACAGACTGTATTTGCTATGAAGTGAGTCTTCTTCCATGGGATACTTTGAATAGAATGACTGGTTTGGCATTACTTATGGTACACTTAAAATCTGTGGATAGGTGAGGCATGCTTTTCTGAAGAATATCACACAAGCAATATTACTCTCTGGCTCATAAAAGGGTATTTCTAAATCAAAAGTTTCACCAAATGTGTGAGGTTCCTATATGCCTGTACCTCACTTGATACCTCACCGTCTCTGGACTAAAGGTTGCTATTCAGTGAGAAGGAAGGATAAGAGAAGAAATGTCCTGCTTTGCCTATATCTCTTGATTGCTTATACCACAGAACTCATTAGTAAAGTTATTCCTTATCAGTAAAATGTCTGAAGTGAGTGAGTCTAACTTGAGAGTCTGAACCTGTGTTGGCGATCTCTTTCTGTTATCCATTTGAAATCTTACCTGTACTTCAGGGCCTAGTTAACAAATTTCACTAAAATCTTCTGATACTATTCTAGCCTATAGGGATCCTCATGTTTTCAAAGTCATTTTGAACTCTATTTTCTACATGAATTGCCTATACCAGTTTTTAGGTTGTTGACTTCATTCTCGTTTCACTTCCTGAAAAGGTGCTTGACTACTATTCATGCTTTTACTCCAGGGGTAGCCTCTAAGTTTAAGAGGTGGAACCATGTTCATGACTGCAGCTAGCAAAGACCTTTTTATGTTGTAGGCTTTCAAATATAATTAATTTACTTTAGAATAGAGAAATGAAAGTTGAAAAGCATTACATTTGAGAACTTGGTGCCCTTTTTTTATGCTACTTACATGTTTGCATCATGTTGATATTTAAAAAAAATTAATGGTAGAAAAACTGTTCTGAGAAAGTTGTTTTAAAATTTTATCAGATATTATTTATTGTACTTTAACATTATTATAAATGGACACTAAATCATAGCAATATTGTTTGTTTATTTTCTAGAGGGGCAGTTAAGACACATAAAAACTGGGGAACCATTTGTTTTTAACTACCGGGAAGACTTGCACAGATGGAACCAGAAAAGATACGAAGCTCTAGGAGAGGTATGGCCAAAGATACTCCTTTAAACTCCGCCCTCCCCCCCATTTTAAATAGAATAAATGTTTTGAAGCTGAAACTGTTCATGCATTCTTTCTACAAAAGGTGATTTAAAAAAGGTTTATGCAGTTTTTGTTTGGTTATTTTTAATGGTTATATTAGAAACATAATTCTGTGTAAAAGTTTTTTATACAAATACATCTTTCCCACAACATTAATATTTTACATTGAGTCTTTGTATCGGAAAACCAATTCATACCAATTTTTTTATTTTTATTTTTATTTATTTTTTTTTAAGATTTATTTATTTATTTATTTATACAAGCACTGGGTACAGTCAGAAGCACGGGAGGATGAGAGAATTCACCAGAGCCAGAGGGGAGAGCAGAAGGCAGAATGACGAAGTACACTGCTGAGGGGAGCAGTGGGCAGCAGGAGAGGTCTGCATGCCATGTGGGACCCTCGCCGTTGGCCGGGGATCGAACAGCTTCGCAGCCCAGCGCTCAACCGCTGCGCCACCGGGGAGGCCCAATTTTTTTATTTTTTAAATGTTTTGAGAGGTTAAGTTCTCTGCTCTGTCAAGAAGAGTATTTTGAGGTGCTTATCCAAAAACAAAGAAAATAGAATTTAAGGTATCTTACCTATGTGAGGAGATAAATGTGTTAATTATCTTGATTTTGTAATCATTCTACAGTGGATATGTGTATCAAATCATCGTACTGTGCACTTTAAATATATACATTTGTCAATGATTCTTCAGTAAAATTAAAAAAAAAGGGTTTCTATAAAGAAGATTAGTATTTGGCTAATGGATTAGATCTAACCTACTTACCTTTGACTTGGTAAGGGTTAAGGTCTTGTGAACATTCAGTATCTCACATGGTACCACTGGCAGATATCTCTGAAAGTGTCATTTTGATTTAGGGGAATGTTTTGTTTGCTAAAGCTAAAAATTTTACTCATTTTGTGTCATAGTAAGTATTTTTAATAAAATAGATATGGACAAATTTCATTAGTGTGACAATTTGATAACTTCCTTAAGGAAAAGTTGGGAATTCTGTATTTCTTTTTGATTCTTTGATAAAGTAGTCAAAGTGAATTACTTGGTTAAGCTCTAGCATCAAAATATATGTGAAACTTAGTTTATGTTTTCTGGAGACTATTCTCCTTGGATCTGTTACATTTATGCAGGTTTCTAAGCAAAGACATTGGCACCTGCTTTTATTTATTTATTTATTTATTTATTTGTTTGTTTGTTTGTTTGTTTATGCATACAAGAACTGGGGTACAGGTCAAAGGTGTGGGGGGTGAGAGGAGTCACCAGGGACAGAGTGGGGAACAGAACAGGCAGATTGACTGGAATGAACTGCTAAGGGGTGCAGCGGGCGACTCAGGAGAGGTCTGCTGCGCCATGTATGGGTAGCTTCCTGGCCGGGGATTGAACTCATGCTGCAGTGGCTGTGGACAGCTTCATAGGTTGCGTCTTAACCCCTTGCACTACCAGGGAGGCCTTGCTTTAGACTTTCTTTTTTAGGATATTTGTACAGGAAACAGTCTTGGAATATAGGTTGCATCTTCCTCCAAAGCTGAGGGCATATCGTTTACTGTCCAAGGTTGTTAGCAACCTCCTTATAAGACTGAATTTAGTAAGTTTGAGGTTTTGCATCTTGATGCAGTCCTACTGTGTTTTATCCTCAGCCTCTTCTCATTGCCTTTTTGGAATTTGAGGGGTAAGAGAAACAGATGAAAACATGACACTCATGCTGCATGCTGTATTCTGTAACTTTGTCTTTGACTCAGGAAAGTAGTGTCTTCTGGACATGTAACTATAGGAGACTAACTTGTTAGCTTCCAATCAGGCTAACATTTTAGGCCCTTCACACTGACATTGGTAGGCCCTTGACATTGTTCTCCAGCTTTTATAGCTTAACTATATTTAATATCCTAAATAATTTCTGCTGCACATAAAAAAGAAATGCCCATTTCCACTTGAATTAATTGTATGCTTTAAAATGTTAATATTTTGTTCATTACTATTTGGCAATTGGGAAGGAATGTGGTTATTTACCTTTTTTATAAATGGGGCTTACATTTTACTCTTTTCCATAAGACATATATACTTGTTTACTTGAATAGATGTTACTCTCCTAACTCAGCAAATTTAAGCTCTTGTATAACTTGACAGTTCTTCAACAACAAATGAGCCTTTGAATTTAAATTATGAAAATAATTTACTAATTTTTGCTACCAATAAGACCTCTAGTTCTGTTGAGTTAGAACCTATGAAAAGTACCTTACTATATTCTGGACAATAAAAACACTGAAAACCTTCCTCCTCATCAATGGACAGGTTGGAATTCAGAAGTTAGTGTAAATTTGAGTTTATTGCTGGGGAGCCTATATTAACAAACAACTTTGATATCCTTAAGATTGAAGTTTAAAGAAAACATATTTATTTCAGCTGGCAAACTAGACTGAGATTCCTCCTGTTTCTTTAGTGTTTTCCAACTGAATATTGAGTTTTGTCTTTAGCTGAGAGCTACTATATATGTTTCACAAGTGCCAATTTAGTTTATTTTTGACTTAAGGAAATTATTATAGCAGTCATTCAGCAGAAATTGTTTCTAAGACTTGCGCCTGAAAGCTCTATCATTTCTATATAAATGAAAACTTTTTGTGTAAATAAAATAAACTGAGATGTCAGTTTGTTTTTGGAATGCAGTGCCATAACTGCACAAAAGAATACTCTTTACATTTACACATTTATATTTTATAGTTAAACAAATTTATATGAATTTTTTGCTAATTTGTATGAAAGTGTGCTAACAAACCTGCAGTTTGATAAAATCATATAATCTTTACTAAGGTAGATAAATTCTCCAAATTGAGAAGGATCTTGTCAGTTTTAGGAAATGGGAGAGTTGTTTGAAAGAGTAATTTTTGAAATAGAAATACTTAGTGTGTGTGTATATTAGAATTTAATTCTAGGGAATAATGTTTCTGGTTGGCTCAATCAGAAAGACTAGAAAGAGTATCAAGTTGAGTAATAAATAGGATGGCAGAAACTCAGCATACAACTTGTGAAATTTTCTTAATAATCTCATGTCAATACTGAATTACTACTAAATGAAGAATTTGTGATCCAGTAGAAATTATAGTGAAAGAGAAATTTGACTTTCTTTTCTAATTTGGGTCTTTACATTTACTTTGATATTTATCTGGATTACCTCATTAAGAATTAATAAATAAATTATCAATGCACATAAAATAGCAATAAATATTTAGTCTTGTCTCTTTATTCATGAATACTATTGCATTTACAAAAACAACTAGGACATAACTTTTTGCTGCTGAATCTAAAGTAGTAATATATCTTGTTAAACAGTAAGAAATTCCTGAAATCTTTATATTTTTATGACTGAAATTTATTAAATAATGGAAGATCATGTTGTCTTACAGGGATTTTTCTTTTCTTTTTTTTTAAGATTTATTTATTTTTATACCAGAGCTGGAGTACAGGCCAGAGGTGTGGGAGGGTGAGAGGATTCACCAGAGACAGAGCTGGGAGCAGAACAGGCAGACGACTGAAATACACTGCTGAAGGGAGCAGTGGTTGAGATAGGAGAGGTCTGCTGCGCCATATGGAAATCTCCCTGGCCCGCTGGGAATCGAACCCACGCTGCAGAGGATGCAGGCAGCTTTACAGAGCTTTGCTCAACCTGATCCGCCACTGGGGAGGCCCTTACAGGGATTTTTCAATGACCACATTCAAATATTTGAAACTAAGAACAACTGAAGGAAGGGATGGTTACACAAGTTATCACTTTGATATTAATATGCTTGAATATAATGTGATGGATTGTGTATAATTAAAACTTTCAAATAACATGAAATACATGCATGTTATATTATATCAGAAAAAAGGAGCAACCATCAAGAGATCTGTGTCCCAGTTCTGATTCAGTCACTGTCTGTATCTTTAGAAAGATAGTTTCTGAACTTTCTCTGTAAATGGGGATAAAATTATTCACATTATGGTGAGGAATAAGTAAGATGTACACATGTGATAACATTTTATTTTCTTTAAAATGTCATGAAGATGTTAGGGACATAGAATGAGAATACAACTACACCGTTGTAGAAGATTTCTAACTTTATTATTACTATTATGAAGATTTTCTTGTTTTTCTCTATTACTGGCATCTGATTTATCTTTCTTAGTAGACCGATGAAAAAATGACCACTGATCAGTGTTGTTTAGCAGGTTCTTTTGACTCACAGCCTTCTATAGTATCCAGTCTTACAAGTGGGATACTTAATTTAGGATAGCATTAGTAATTAGGCATCTTAGAATTGAAGAAGTAGTTAGAGATTAGAGAACCAGAGAGGAGTTGATATTGCAGTTTTGAGTCTAAAGACATTCTGCAGGCAGAATTCCTCTTGCTTGGGAGATGGTCAACTGAATTTATTCTCTCAAGCTGTTCAACTCATTGGATGGTTCTTACAGCATTATGGAGGGAATCTGCTTAAGTCAGAGTCTACAGATTTTAGTATAAATTTCATTCTAAGATACTCTCATGGGAACACACAGAATAATGTTTGACACATATCTGAGCACCATGGCCCAGACAAATGACATACACATTAACCATCATAGATAGTGATTATACCTACATATAATTTATTCTGAATATGCTATGAGTCTTTACAACTTTACTCAGTGTTGGAGTAGAATCATGCCCTGTGGGGATTCAAGCCTACCATGTGATGTCTACTTCTTTATTCTTACCAGAAGTCCACTTTTCCCTTCATTTATCCTGGTTAATATCTTTCCACCCACAGAAAAATATGTATTTGTACATAGGACACTATGGCATGGGAGGTATAAATAGCTATATTTTGTTCATTAATGTCAGGAGCCTTTCTAAACTTTTAGTCATAAGCTTTGCAGGTATTAGTGATCAATCAGCCAGGTATTGTATATCTCATGATTTGATGATTTAGA